CAAGACGTTAACTCAATCCGATGCAAACAATGGTGGGGGGTTCTCTGTTCCAAGGTACTGCGTGGAAACCATCTTTCCGCGGCTGGATTACTCGACTGAACCACCGATTCAGACGGTGATCGCCAAGGACGTTCACGGTGAAGTTTGGAAGTTTAGGCATATATATAGAGGCACGCCACGTCGCCACTTGCTTACAAGGATATTTTCGCCAACGGATATTTTTCCATTGTCTCTGTTCTCTATCTTCTTTTCTTTTTCTTTTTTGTTTTAAAAATTTTAATAAGAGGATATTTTCGTAATTGTCACTTATTTTCCCATCTATATTTTACCTCAAACCAAACATAGATTTTATAAATCTTACCTAATTTGCCCACTAAAATTTGTTCAAACCAAACAACTTTTTTTACATTTTCCTACCTAACTCACTTTTCAACCATTTCCCTATAAATTACATTTTCTCAGTATTCAAAAAATTTATCCTCGACCAAACGCCCCCTTAAAACATAATCTTTAAAAGAAAAATGCTTCAGGGTAATAGTTGTTGAGACTTGAGAGTGATTTCTCCTCTCTGGTAACAGCACAGTAGTGGATTACCTTATTAATCGGATGGTTTATTTGTTCTGCCGGTGGTTAAGCAAATAACGGAGTGTTGTCTTACAGCGAGGCAAGAACGTCTAACTTATAGAAAATAATTGTTTTACGCTTAAATTTTCTTATAAAGCTATAAAAAAAACATATTTTTGGAAATAATTAATTCAAACACACCTTCATAACAAATTAGACTGATCATATCGTGGGTTTGAATCGCTTGATATCCCGTGTAGGTACTTCTTATTATTTGATTCTGTTATTGGGCTTTGCAACTTTGCTTTTTTATTTTATTTTATCCATTTTCAATTACCTGACCCATGTTCTTTTAGTACATTTGATTCTAATTATTTTGTATTAATTTGTTTATAAAAAATTGAAATTGATAAAAGAGAAATTTAACATTTTGTTAGTAGAGTATAAAATCAGCTATTTGAAATAGACAATTCAACCCGCGAGATAATTCAGTTGGTAAACTGAGTGTTTAAGGTTTTACTTTGATCAAGTGTTCAAACCTTGACCAAAGCAAATTATTAGAATTCCTTTAAGAAGGTTATTATCGGGATACTTTTAAATTATCTTAAAAAAAATACTTTTGAAAATTTTAAAATGTTAAAAGTTACAAACACTTTTTTTGGTGGATAAAAATGAGGGTTCATTTTTTCTGCAGTTAATGTGTATAAGTTATTTACATTGAGCTCAAAACGATGTCGTTTTATGACGAAAATCAAGATACTTTTATAATTATAATTTATTTCAGGATTGTAATAGTCTCTTTCATTATAAATTTTTAATTTTTTAACATAAAATAACGTCATTTTGGGAGTAAATATAGATAACTTATTTACATTCACCGTAGAAACATTAAAACCTAAAAATAATAAACATTTTGGTTGTGTTTGAAATTGTTAAAAATCAAACATGATTTTATATGATTTCATTAAAAATCAAACATCACATATAAAAGCAATTTTTTTTTGTATATTTATATTTTTGCTCTTAAAATAAGTTGGGTACACGTGTACCGAGGTGTTCGCGTTTAATATGATTGTTATCAGCAATATATTGATCACATCAACATCAAAGTTATGACTCCATTAATGATAAAATTGAGATTGGACTAACCTGAAATTTACACAAAACGTATAAATGTAAATATTATACATAACTAAGTCATTAGATTTAAAAAATAAAAACTAAAACCAAATGATATTTTAATTATAAGACAAAACTTAGATAAAATTCTTTGGATGCATGTAGTATTATTTTTTAACAAGAGACCGTTTGACCATTGATCGTTTCACCTTAAAAAACCTCACTTTGGGGTGATGCTAAATTTTTTTAGCAATTGGGGTGGTCAATGTCCTCAACCCCCATGTGGCAATAATTTTTTTTTTCATTTTATTATATAAAAAAGAGAAACGACCAATTAGATTATACTACATGACATAATATGAAAGTGGCCCCCAACAATAAAAATATTTATTTATTATTATACTATCAATTGTCAATCAATATTAATACTGGATAATCGTTAATGGAATTTTTTTTTGTAAATTTATTAATTAATTAATTATATATGATCTTTGAATGTGTATTCTTATGATCAATTAGTGAATGAAACTTTTATGTAAATCAGTTATAATCGATTACTGAATTTACACAAATTTTTCATCTATAAATGAATTTATATAAAATATTATAAAATTATTAATTATTTATTGATAATTGATAAATAAAATTTTCGATAACAAATATCTTATAACACTTTTTGCTGATTTTTTTTTTTTTTTTTTTACATTATATGGAATAAGTAAAAAATAGCAACTTGAGGTTGCAGAACCGGATAATTATAATTTGGATTAGTTTAATACTTTTTTAAGGATTCATTTTTTTCTAAAATTACATTAGATAATTTTGTCTAATATTCACAATATCGATATCATTTTGCGGTAGAAAACATGATATACTTGTATTTTAATTTACTTCAGAGTTATATGATAGTCTCTATTATTCTATTTTTTTAATTTTTCAATCCAAAACGATATTATTTCAGTGAACATTACACAAAATTATTTAAAATAACATTAGATATTTTTTTTCAATTTTTTAATTATATTAACTTAATTTTGATACACAAACATTCTTCCATTTCCCTTAAAAAGAGGAGTGCAGTTATCCCCTTCCCCCATTCTCCCGAATTTAAAAAAGGTACCCAATGGGTGCAGCTCATTTGATTCTTTGGTGCTGAGTTAGTGGGGTTAGATATGTGTTTGATTTCCGCTGAATGTATTTTTGGGGAGGGAGCTGAACCTTTAGCCATCACTGACCCCGCACTCCGGATTAGTCCCATAGCCGGCTCAAAGAGTCGAAGCTTGTGGAGATACCGGAAGGAGCCAACTCGCCCTCAAAGAAATAATTAGGGTTGGGTAACTAAAAAAAATGAATATACGCGAAAAAATACGAGGCATAGACAAATTACATATGCTGACTTGATTTCGTCTGAGGATGGTGAAATTAAAATGACAATAACTTTATATTATAATTACGATACTTATACAAAGAAAAATTAACGTAACTCGTAAATTCCATTTGCTAAATTATCCACACCTATCCAAAATCCCCCTCCCTCATATGAATCCGACGGTGTCTTATCCACACCTATCCATTACCCACACTTAAAGATTGTGAGTTTTTAATCTGGATAAGTATCATTTTCAAATGTATAATAAATACAAATATTGGAAGGAAAAAAAGAAATTTGAAGAAAATTTGCATTCCAATTTAACCTCCAATCTATCCATATCTATAGTGAATTAAAAGATTATATTATCATGATTATTACTACTTTGGAATAAAAATGTACATTATATTATTACTACTTAAATTTAAATTACTAATTCCACAAAAGTAAAATACTACGTAGTTTTGCAAATTAATATTGCATCCGTTATAAACTTTTTGCTGTGTAGTATTCGTGCTTATTAAGGAATCACTACGACGAGGGACCCACTACAATGTGGGACCCGATGAGACCTGAAATTCAGAATGTTAAATTGTTGGGTAGCAGCTGCCAGAGCTTCCTTTATTGCGCCGGGGATCCCAACCCCAATTAAATTTGGCTCTGTGGCCGACCTAACCTGGCCCCACCTCATCACCTTCCCATCACTATCGTCCAACTTTGCGGGTCCCATGAGCCAGCATTAATCACTGCCGTTCATCGCTTCAGGTTGCCTCATCATCTCTTTCACGAGTTTGATTTTGACGCCTCTGATCACAAGTGTCTCAAACTGTGGGCTCCAATCACAAAAATGTGAAATGACCAGTGTCTCCTTCATCTTGCTCATATAAAGCGTGTGAAACGTTCATGTTTTCAGTGGCTGTTTAGTCAAAAGCGCTGGCTGGGCTGGGCTGGACTATCAACATTGGATCACGGCCGTCCCTTTCAAATTTTGTGGATTTACAACAACCACACGATCCAGATGCGCGTCCAGAACACTCTCTGCCACGACTTCACTATTTCAAACTTTTTTTTCCGCTCTTTTTGGTTCCTCGTCATTACATTCCCAAGTGCATTAATTAGCTTGACTAATTCGTTTTGGGCATTAATCAAACTCACTAATAATGCGTATTTTCGCGGCTGAATTTTTGTATTGCATGTGAAGTTTAAATTTAAAAAATTGTACGTATCAAAAGAAAGTTTTGAGACAACAAGAACTGAAAAAAAAAGAAAACCCCTACAACCAAAAGAATGTGTTCTATTGAACAAAGAGCATTTCGAATCAAGAACTCGATACAAGCACCGCCTCCAAAGCTTGCAACTCACACGAGTAATTTTAAAATTGTCTTTAATCAAAGGAATCAATTAAAATGACTTAAAAGTCTTTTCAATGGATTGAAGAGAATATAAGACATTCATTAAGATCATATTATAAAAAAATCCTTTATTAAAGGCAAGGCATTATTAGTAAAGTCATTTAATAGAAGCAAAATTTCAATGAATAAGTAATTAAAACTCAAATTATGTTTAACTCTATTATCACAAGATAAAAGTGAGAATTCCATAAAGTTCTCCGTTGCAATAGCTCAAAATCTACAATTTATTTTATTCCCTCAATGATGTAACCTATTATATTATATAGTTTACTAAGCCAATGTATCTAGGAGGAGGTGGGATCTACGCGGCACAAGTGTGAGTTGGTGAAAATAACGTTATTAGAAAGAAAAAAAAAAGGGGGAAAATGAAAGATACGGGCAGCAGGCAAAGGGACACGCAAGGAAGGTTTGGGGCAACGGGCAACGGGCAGCAGAAGATGCCGTCATTCCCAGCCAGTGACACCGTTTCACGCGCACACTCACAAGAGCAAAAAATATATAGAACAAACGACACTTCATTTCACACACACCCAACCTCATCCGAACCTCAGCTCCGTGTCTGGACAACCAGGTTCGGACCACACTGAGCCTCTCGAAAAAAGCCAAGGTACCCTCGAAAATAATGGAACCAAAGTGAAACAGGGGTTTTAGAGTGAGAAAAAGAGATAGAGAGAGAAAACAACCATTGATGGGTCAGATCGTGAGGAGGAAGAAGAAGGGACGTCCCTCCAAGGCAGATCTAGCTCGACGCTCCGGCGAATCTCCGGCGACGACACATCCCGACCTTAGACGAAGCCGGCGGCGGAGGAATGTGAGGTACAACATAGATTACGACGACTACCTCGACGAGGAGGACGAGGATGAAGACGAGGACGAGAGGAGGCGCGAGAAGAAGAAGCTGAAGCTGGTGGTGAAGCTGAACCAGGGCGCGGATGAAGAGGAAGACGAAGACGAAGACGAGTCCGCTCCGAGCCGCACTCGCGTGGGGTCGCGTGAGGTGCACGCGCAGGATGAGGAGGAGGAGAAGATGGTGAGGAAGAATGAAGAAGGGGAAGAGGATGAGGAGGAGGAAGAGGGAGAAGAGGAGGAAGAAGAAGAAGAAGAAGTGAATGAGGATGCGGAGGAGCACGAAGACGAAGGTGAAGAAGGGGTTGAGGTAATGTTCCGAAAATTGAAAAAAAAAAAAATTGTGGAAAATGAATTGGATTGTACTATGAAGGAGAGTGTGAGTGTGTGTGGTAGACAAACAAGAGTGTGTCCAGCTCAGCTGAAATCACTGAGATTTTTGTTGGGAGTGATACCAATTGGTCCATAATTCAATAATCTTCGCACTTTCTCTCTCTCTCTCTCTCTCTCTCTGTATGTGTGTGTGTTTTTGTTTCTATCTCTAGGTCTCTCCCTTTCTCTCTCTCTCTTTCTCTCTCTGTCTGTGTCGGGATTTTGGGAGAGATAACTAACGGGTCAACTGTCAAAAAAACTAACACACCACACATGCAGACTCTGTGTGTTTACGCTTCCATTTTATCAACCCTCTTCTCTCTCTCTCTCTCTCTCTCTATGTCTACAACTAAAACCTACGCATTGGTGTCTGTCTGGCTTGTCTGTCTCTGTCCCTGTCTCCATCGCACTCTTTCTTATATAAGCGCAGTTTTTGCCTTTTTTATGGTTTTGGATTATGTTATTAATTGTGTGTGCTTCTTGGGGTGTGTGGTTTCTTGTGACAGGTAAAGGGCAGAAAAGTGGATTCTAAAGGGCTCCACTCTGTTTCAGGTTTGTGTGTGTGTGATTGAGTGATTTGTTGTTTCGGCTGTAATTCTTAATTCTCCACCTTTTTGTTTTTAATAAAACGTATTGGATACTGAAAGGGTGTTTCTGTTACTGCGTCGTCCTATGTGAGTTTCTCAACTAGCCTTTTTTTTTTTTTTTGTCCTACTGTTAGGAACTCCATCAAAGCTTTCATCTGGGATTCCGTTGCCTGATAAGAGGACCCTTGAATTGATCCTTGACAAGCTTCAGAAGTAAGGGGTTTCGTTTCCCGTTTTCTTCTTCATGCAGCCTTTTCTTTGTTTAGGCATGTATGGTGATGCCATGTTTTTTTGGTGCTTTTTTCTTGACTTGGGTCTGAATGATTGCAGGAAGGACACTTATGGTGTGTATGCAGAGCCAGTTGATCCAGAAGAGGTGTGTGGACTTTTCTACCTGGAAATTGTTAGTCTTGCTTTTGGAATGCAATCTGAGTTGAGAGTTCAAAATATGTTTAAATGCAGCTTCCTGATTATCACGATGTGATTGAGCATCCGATGGACTTTGCCACAGTGAGGAAGAAGTTGGCAAATGGATTTTATCCAACCTTGGAACAATTTGAGGTGAGTAAACATGTATCAACTGTTCATGATTGAAGTTGGGGGGAGGTTTCTTTTCTTCTCTGAAATTTTGATTGTTTTTGCAACATGATTGTACTGGATTTCGATGTTGTTCTGAACCTCTGCTCACTTTTTTAAATGTTAGAAAGTGGGTCATACTTTTCTTAGACATGAGACTCAGTGTTAAGGCATCACTTGTCTTTTCTTTGCTTTGCTGAATTCAGCAAGGTCTGCTGTTGTTAGTAACATACTAACATATCAGTAAAAAATGTGGGTTGTGAGCAAGAGGCTGCTACATGCTGTTGGAATGAGACGAAGTATTTAGGATGGCTAACTTGTCAGTACAATGGAGTCTGTCAAGGTTTTGCTGACTTATGATGATGGCATGCTACAGGAAGTAGTAATTTGTGTGTTTTTGAGAGATATTCGCAAGGAACATCTATAGGAATATAATGTTAATGGGATCTTATGAAATTTAGTGTAAGTTATAGCTGTGGTTTTTATTTCCCCTGAAGGAGTATGTTTTATTGCAGTTTAGCTCTTGGGGACATAGAGCCCTAAAACTTTATTGTCATGGTATGATCACGGTTAAATTAACTCATGAGCACCCAAGACATTTGCATACAAAAAATTGTGTATAACTTCACCAATAATACCTTCATTTATTTATTATCTTCTTTGTATATTCCCGTCTTGATTTACTAGGAAAGCAATGGGAATGCCTGCATTATATACCATATCGTGCACTGCCTGACCTCAAATCTCTAATCTTTCAGTTAGATTTACAAGTTGAAGTTTACCCTGAAAAAACAATTTATGCCCCATTAGGCCATGTAGGATTATAATTTATACTGATGTTAATAGGTATTGGGGGAATATGTCATGGTTCTAGTCTTTTGCTGTTTGTGACTCACAGGTGGCCCATCTTTTACATGAAAAAGGGGTGTGGGAGAAGAAAATGATATTTGTAATTTGTTTCTCTCTCCGACTTTTGTGGATTTTCTTCGTAGAAAATCTGTGATTATCATCAAGAAATGCAATAATTGAATTTGTTTCTTTACTAAGAATCCTTTTATTACATAAGAATCCTGAATTTTGTTTGCTCTATCGTCCGAACCAATTTTAAACTGTACATAGATATTGCTTCCTGATTGGGTGTAATATTGAAAGGCAAATAAATGATTGTACTGTTATTACATTGACTTTTGAATACAATTGTTGAATGCAGAGTGATGTATTTTTGATTTGCTCAAATGCAATGCAATACAATTCAGCAGACACTATATACCACAAACAGGTATAAAGCTGGCTGCTTTCCCTTGTTTCTCTTGAAAAAATATGGCAACTAACCATGTTGTTATGCTTGCTTTGTGATCCCTATATTTGTTGCAGGCACGATCAATACAAGAATTAGCACGGAGAAAGTTTGAGAAGTTAAGGATTGACTTGGAACGCTCTCAGAGTGATTTGAAGTCTGAACAAAAATCAAGATCTAATTCCTTGATTAAGAAACTAGCAAAGAAGCCACTTGGTCATGCTTTGCAGGAGCCTGTTGGCTCTGATTTCTCCTCAGGTGCAACTCTTGCTACTATTGGAGATGTACAGCCAACTTCCCATCCAATGCAAGGTATCATCTGCGAAAGGCCTGGCAATGTTGATGGCCTTGTGGAGGGGAATGCTTTCTTGATTGATGCAAATCAAGAGAAAGCAGAAGATTTTTTATCAGGTATCACAGAAGAGATCAAGCTTCCTCCTTCTGTTTTGTTACATTGTGCCTTGATTATTGAATTTTTTGCAAACTGTCAAAGTAGGATAGTGATGTCAACATCTAGCTGTTCTCTTTTGACTGTATTACATTATTGTTTCAGGGAAGGGTGTGCTCTCCAAGTTGGGAAGGAAATCATCTGTGCAAGATTATGAACGTCGTGCAACTTATAATATGTCTAATCTACCTATTACTAGATCTGATTCAATATTTACGACATTTGAGAGTGAAATTAAGCAGCTGGTTACTGTATGTATCAAAAGGAGTGAATTCTAGTCCTTGAATAGTTTGGCTTTCTTATCTTGTTTAAAGCATTTAATGTTGTATTTTTTGGCAACAGGTTGGACTTCAAGCTGAATATTCCTATGCCAGGAGTTTGGCTCGTTTTGCTGCTACTCTTGGACCTACTGCTTGGAAAATTGCTTCCCAGAGGATTCAGCAGGCACTGCCATCTGGCTGTAAATTTGGTCGTGGTTGGGTTGGAGAGTATGAACCCCTGCCAACGCCAGTATTAATGCTTGATAATCGTGTCCAAAAAGAGCCTAGTTTCGTAACAAAGTTGCAGTCTACTACTGAATTGATAAAAGTTGACAATTGTAAGAATGTGGAATCCACCATGGAACATCCTGTTAATGGAGCAAAGTTTGAGGGAAGACATCCTTCAGTTCGTCCTGGTAGTGGGCCTACATCAGAAGGAAAACCATCTTTGTTTGGTTCTGCTGGAATAAGACCCAATGCTCCTGTCAATCTCCTTTATCACCAAACCCATGTCCAAACCAAGAACCACGGCAAGTCTGAGAATAAGGGTTTGAAACAAGTGGAGTTGAACTCTTTACCCTCGAGTGATCAGAATAATGCCAGTCTAGGTGCAAAGCTTCCAAGTAATGCTTCTGCAGTAGTGTCTAAGCCCAGAGAGATGGTACCAAGTAACATGAATATTTTACCGTCTATACCTTTCAAGCAGCTAGATAATAATGGAGTTGTTAGTGGAGAGTTGCCAAATGGAAAAGTCAGGAATACTAATTTAAATAGACGGATGACTGGTCCATCATCTGAAAGTACGTCAAATCAAACAGGCAGAGCAGCTCCCTTTGTTGCCCATGGGCAAGAGCAGAGTCTTAGTGACCCAGTTCAGTTGATGAGGATGTTAGCTGAAAAGGCTCAAAAGCAACAGACTTCTAGTTCATCTAATCATTCCCCTGTTGATACCCCACCAGTGACACCATCAGTTCCATCTGGACGGAGAGAAGACTCGAGCAACGCAGCAGCAGCAGCTGCCCGTGCATGGATGTCTGTAGGGGCAGCAGGGTTTAAACAAGGACCTGACAGTTCTAGTTCACCCAAAAATCAAATTTCTGCAGATTCATTGTACAACCCAGCACGAGAGTTCCATCAGCATATTTCTCGAATTAGGGGGGAGTTTCCCTCTGGTGGAATGCCTTTCCAGGCCGAGAAGAACAATTTTCCATTTCAGGCACTTGCACCTCAGCTTATTCACCCAGTTGGTGTTTCACAGTTTCCAAACCGACCTATGGTTTTCCCTCAAGTGGCAGCTTCTGACCTATCAAGATTTCAAATGCAGCCGCCTTGGCGAGCTATCCGTCCTTATAGTCAACCAAGACAGAAACAGGAAACACTTCCTCCTGACTTGAATATTGGTTTTCAATCTCCTGGGTCACCTGCAAAACAATCTTCTGGTGTGCTGGTTGACTCACAGCAACCAGACCTGGCTTTGCAACTATGATGTGGCCTTGCAATTCTGGTGTGGTTTTTTCCACAAGAATTTGACTTACTATGGAATGTTCGGCTCCTGTCATCGGATGTTGATTTTGATCCAAAAAGCCTTAACTTGCATAAATGAAGAAAAGGCTACCATTTTGTTACTATTGGGAGAGATGAAATGACTACCATTTGCTGGGGAAGATTGTTATCCCTTGGATGCTTATGATGGGTATCTTATGGTTGAGTAGGATTTGGCACAAGGTAAGTCAACATGAGTTTGCTTATGTTCAGAAGACTTAGGTGGATTTGGCAGAAAATAACCCCACAACTTCCAATCTTTTCCAGATGAGGTTTTCTTTGTTACTGCAGCATGTCTGTGTTCTATCCTGGAGTTGAAACCATAGAAAATATCTACGGGTCAATTGATTATGATCAAGCGTTGCTTAGATTTTTCTATTAGCCGGAGAAAATTCCTGTTGATGCCTTGTACATTCTTTACAAATGGATGAAATTCAGTTGCCGATATTGATTTCATTAGATGATTACTTGTTTCTCTGAATTGGTGGTGATGCATCACTTCTAGTTCTTAATGCTGCCAACTATTCTGTACATGAGATTTACATGTCACGAATGCAAAACCACAACTTGCTTTTCCTTGTTTTACCCGATTAGCCTGCTGCTTCAGGTACCGTCCACCAATTTTCCGTTTCTCATTAAATAGATAATAATGAGATGCAGTACCGTTACGTAAATTGAAAAGTACATTTTATCTCTGAATTAAATAAAAATGTTACTGATTTTTGTGAGGTTATATGTTGGTTTTTTTTTTTTTTTTTGGAAACAGGCTAATTGTACAGTATTACTGTAGTCTGATATTAATTTCTTTCCTTATTGTCGGACACTCAGATCCCTAAAATGGAACTTTTGGCTTCCCGCTTTAAAAAATTTAAAGTTATTACTTTCTCAAGTTAAAATTGTTTTATACTGTTAAATAATTTTTATTAAATAATTATGTCATAAGATTTATTGTTAAATGGAAATTTTTTATCATATAAATTTTATTTATAAAATTTAATATTATTTTAAAATTATTCAAAATTTAATTAATACATGTTAAGGTCAATATAATATATATTTTTGAAATTAATGAAAATAAAAGTATTTAATTATTTTTTTCTTATTTTCAAACTTTTGCATGATTTTTTCTCTATCCATTTTTCTGTACTTTTCATTTGGGTTATCTACCACCTAGATAAATGTGTTGCTGATGTTGGTGGTGAAACTTTTGCATGATTTAATGTTAATAATTAAGTTAATAGATTTCAATTTTAAAAATATTTTTAATGATTTTAAAGGCACAATTTCATTTTTTTAATAAAATAGAATAACTTTTAAAAAATGTGTTAAAAATTATATCTTAAAAATAGAAAGAGGATTCATTGAAGCGGCAGAAGATATTTGAGAATGACAAAGCCGTGAAATTTTTTGACTCCAATGCAACAAACTAGGGCCGCAGCACCATGAAATTATTGGTTGCACTTGCACCTGTAATATGTATTTCCAAAAACTGAGACAATGTCATCTGACAAAAATCTAACATGCTTCAATCACCAAAAAAAAAAAAAAAATCTAACATGCTTTTCTTCTAAAATTAACTCTCGATAGTTTTTGCTTCAAGGCCTATTTTCAAGAAGCTTCTTGACTAGAGAGTATTTTGATTTGAATTTCATCCGTTTATTTTACTATTTTAGTATACTATCACGTCATTATGGTTATTTATATATTTTTCATCATTCATTATTTATTTATCAAAAAAATATTTCTATAGTTACATATAAGTTATCTGCATTTATTCCCAAAACGATGTCATTTTGTGATTGAAAGATTAAAAAATAATTATAAAGATTATAATAATTCTGAAATAAATTAAAATTATAAAAATATCATGATTTCCGTCACAAAACAACGTCGTATTGGGCTTACTGGAGATAACTTATCTGCATCTGCATTGACTGCAAAAAAGCCAACCTTTTATTTATTCATGAAAATTGTGGTAGTGTTATTTAAAACACTATATGAAAAATATTTTTTGGGCCAAATAACCTCATCCTTCCTCCATAGGTAGCCCATCCCAGCCCATCCCATCCCAGCCCAGCCCATCCGGCCCACTATTAAACTCGGAATATGTCCACCCTAAACTGAATCTAAACAGCTATCATATCAGTGTGAAGAAGAGGAAAGCGAAGGTAATTTGTTGGCCTTAGTATCATTTCGAAATCTGTTTGTTCATTCATTTCTAAGTTATATAATCTTTAGAATATGTGCTGATTCATATTCATTCATAGATATTAAGTTATATGATATGTTTGTAGAAGAGAGTTATAATGAATTTGGGTTTTGTTTCAGTTGAGGTGAGGATAGGAGAGAAATGTTCGGGACAGTGATTAGATGTTTAGCGAAGAAATCGAAGCCGAAGATGGGACCCACAGTCCTCAAAACACCGCCGGAGCAGAGGAACACAATCACTAGGGTCCTCTTTGATGTCGTGAAGGAACATGGTCCCATCACTGTTCCTAATGTCTGGGAACGTGTTAAGGTACATTATCAATTATCGTATCATAGCAGTAATTAAGGTTTGTTCACTTTCAGTGAATTTGTTTTATTTTTGAAAATGGTGGAAACCCCATATGGCATATCGATAGTGTCAATGATCAAAATTAAATCTTTCAACTCTTTAGGCTGAGGAGAAGATGAATGTAAGAAAATTCAAAGGAACCCAAATTTTCTCCCTATATAATTGATCCTCTGGCTTGCTTAATCATGGAGATTATTGGAATACGTATGAATCTTATACAATTGTACATGTCTTGGATTTGTATTGAATTATTGAGTGGTCATTGTTTTCAATGTTTTTAGGAGGTTGGATTGAAAGATTTGACGAGCAAGAATCATATGAAAATAGTGTTGAGATGGATGAGAGAGAGACAGAAGCTTCGACTTGTTTGCAACCATGTAGGGGCTCATAAGCAGTTCCTCTATACCACTTGGTTTACCAAGCCCAGTACCCCTCAGGCAACAGTAGGAACCATTCCTTCAAAGCAGAAGCTCTCTTGAAAGTTTTTATGTTTATGATCAGTAGCCAGGTGGATGGATAAGATGTTTTGTACAATGGGAAGAATAATGTAGACTATAATATAATTTTAGTACCACTGATGGAGAATCTAAATTTTGGTGGGTTGAATTACATTTGTTCTTCCTGACTGTGTTGCTTCTGTTCCTATTTCTTCATTTATGCCAGCTTGTTACTATTAAAGCAGAAACAACAGTCCTTGCCTTGAGTGTTTCCATGTGAACTAACATTAGCTCCTTCAGGCCTTGCCTCCAGTGATACACTTGAAGGAACCTGTTCTCAGGTTCTTAAGCAACAGATGATTAAGGTAAGCATTATAATATCCCTTTAATTTAGAGAACTAATTAGCATTCATTGTGTCTTGTTTGAGAAGTTCAAACAACAACATTGTGAAATAATTTAGAACTGTTGTGGCTCAGTTAGGTTAAGGCATTTTGCATAATTACTGTTCCATTTGGACCAAGTGAACATAACTTCTTGTAATTGCCTGTTTGATTCCCTTTGATAGCATCCTCTTCCTTACGGACCTTACTCCTAAAAACAAAGACCGAGTGATGTTTGATTCTATGTTTGACCAATATATCATATATGCTTTGTCAGGTTATATACAAGGATATTGAAGAATGGTAAAATTTAGCCTTACTTGACAAATAATCTTGGAATTATTGGAATCTAAGAGGCAAAAATTAAAACCTGCAATTCAAGTTACTCATAACTGTTGATGTTTTTGTATGACAAAGATTTGTGCATACAGGTCGTTCGTCGTTGTAAGCATACAATGCGTCTTACTAATTGTGAGAGTTAAACTGTTAAACTTAGCCAAATTACTACATTATACTTGTGTTTTTTAGGAAATGAACAGACCAGCTCGTTGTTTCTATTTGTTTCTATCAGCAAAGAACAAGAGGTTAACCAAGCTAAGTGAAAATTTCCCATTAAATTTGTGCTAAGCAGTAAGCTACATAAAATTTGAGAAAACAAATTATATAGTAGCCCCCAAAACCATAAATTTGGCTGTTTAAAGAAGAGCAATAAACAAGAAAAATCCTTACGAGGGATTTTTAGCAACAATGTGGTTGCGCTCAAATGGGCTACATAGAGCCGACAATTGTGATTGACCTCAAATATTTCATCGTTATTTACGAATATTCATGCAGCAGCCAATGGACATGATTCTTCAAACTTTAAAAAGGCTTTCAATTGGCAAAACCTTTTCTTCCATCAGCATTGCTCGAGTTCATAAATGAGGAACTCTCTATAAAAAGGGATTTAAATGAACATCAATTTAAATGGGGAACTCTCTATAAAAAGTGTGTGTGTATGTGTGTGCAGCGTAAATAATAAAACTCCTCGGTGATATATTCAATAGCGTTTTCTAGCGAGGGGTTACGGTGTAATGTATCATTTTTATAAGGGTTCGCTTTCTATGTAGTTACTGTAGATAAATTATTTGCAGTAAGCCCAATACGACGTCGTTTTGTGGCAGAAATCATGGTATTTTTGTAATTTTAATTTATTTCAGGGTTATAATAGTCTTTATATTTATAATTTTTTAAGTTTTCAATACCAAAACGACGTCGTTTTGGGAATAAATGCAGATAACTAATTTGCAGTAACTGCAGAAACATTTTTCCCTTTTTTATAAATAGCGACTCATTCACTAAATTTTAAAAATGTTAAAGAAATTAAATTCCGAAAAACATAAATTAGGTTTCAGAGTCAGAGACTATTATTATAATTATATTAAATATGATGTATATATACAAGTAGTTATTCAAGCAAGTTTGAGTTTAATCGTTGAGGAGCCTGTATAAGAAAGCGCTCACATAGGGAGGGACAGTCTCATTTCGTGAGAGGTATAATCTTTTAGATCCAGTACAGAAAATTAATCCTTCAAAGATACATGACACATCAATTTATTCCTCTAAAGATTTTGGACATAAATTTGATTCCTTGATTGCTTAATAGAAGATAGTTTGTCTCATGCATAAAAATAAATTATGAGGATCCCACCATTTTTAAAAAATAAAAATAATAATAAAAGAATGGCACAATTTTCTATACATCACTAGCATAAGATAATTGTCTTCTATAAAAAGAGACAATTTAAACCATATATATATATGCATATATATATAGTCTTTTTCTACCATCAATATAGATAACTTATTTACATTGAGCACAAAACAACGTCGTTTTGATACAAAAATCAAGGTATTTATATATATAAAAGAATTAACTTAATGTCTCGTGTATCTTTCGAGAATCAATTTGAGCATTTACTTTAAAAAAATGCATTACACTTCTTCATATTATATAAATGTATACAGTATCTGTGTGTAGTGTAGGGTGTTGTGTTCAATTCCTTGTAACCTCTAAAAAAAAATGTATACAGTATCTTACAATAGTATACAATGATTGTATTAAGTTTCTTGCAAAATTTAGAATATGCTTGTGGAGTTCATGTGATTTTAGAATTTAAATATGGGATAGGATATTGTGACACCCATGTGACACCCAGTCAATCTCACCGTTAGATCGCTTATGTTGATCCAACGGTTATATTTATTTCCATCTTTGTATGGTCATGATTTCCCAAATTTAATATTTTATATTTATTTCTACCTTTGTATGGTTATGATTTCCCATATTTAATGCTTTCACTTTAAATTTGGGAAATCATGACCATTCAAAGATGGAAATAAATATAACCGTTAGATCAACATAAGCGATCTAACGGTGAGATTGACTGGGTGTCACATGGGTGTAACATAACTTGGATGTCACAATATCCTATCCCTTTAAATATAGGCTTTATTACTCTCTTAGGAGATAACTTCTCTTATGCTCTTTTACTTTGATTTTTCACCCTATTTTTTCTTTCTTTGTAATGATGGGACGCGTTCATCTTCTCTCTACAACATAAGATAGTTATCTCAGGAGAGTAATATTTTCCTTTAAATATATATTAAAGAATTGGCATTGAGTTAATATTTAGATTAATAAGCTTTTAATTTTCTTAAACAAGGAAATCGTATTATAGTCTGAGGCGTCTTTCAGTTTTTCTAACTACATGCATTGTTATACAAGTACCAACTGCTAATCTGCAACAAATATTTTATCATCTCTTAGACCATTTGAATTGAAAAATTATTATTTTTCCTTGTTCATGTATCTCCCCATGTATACCATTTGAATGTGAGATTAATCTTATTTGAGGTACCGAAACTATTCCTCTCTACAAGTACATGTTGGGTATGATTTATATTTCACATGCTGACGAGGATCTTTATTGGCGGGATCAGCAGAAAAACAACTGAGTGAGCGGGCGGGGGTCCGGGGGAGCCACCCTAGCAGGGGTTTAGGGGGTAGCGCCCCCGGCCCCGAAGAGATCGGGTACTGTTGTGGACCTATGACATGTTGTAATTTTCTTTTACTTGGTAATTTGAGTTTGGGCCCATGAATAGTTGATGTTAGAATTTTCTAAATCCTATTTATATTCCCTTGTAAACCGAGTGACTTATAACGAATAGCGGTGAGGTGAATATAGTACAGATACGCTGGACGTAGTCTATGTTGAGTGAAGCAAGGTAAATCTTTGTGTTGATCTTTCTCTCCCCTTTCTCTTTTCATTTTTCGATTTATGTGTGTCGATTTCTAATAGTACTAATTAACCCCTAAAATTACAAAAGTAACTTAACTGGTAAACTTAAATTTGGTTATGGCTTAAGTTATTCATTATAGGTGGACAAGTTCTTAAAGTTTTTTTTTTTTTTTTTTTTGGTACAATGGACAAGTTCTAGTTAGGTTTTGAAACACTTTAGCTTATTATTACTATTTACCAAGACGAGAGAGGAAGAGTATAAATATATAATTTCTTGCAAATTACTTAAACTCTTTATCAAAACTCTTGTTTTTTTTTTTTTTTATCAAAACTCTTGTTTTGATTCTATTGGAGTAGAGAGTTTTCAAGTAAAGCTATAAAATTGACACAGCTCTTTAACACATCCTTCGGGTAAATAAATTTTCTGCGCTTGGAGGATAAACAAGGTAGCAAAGATTACAATTAAAGTTAAAGATATATTTACTACAATTTTTTCTTTATAAATTTTTACTACAATTTTGTTATCGTTAAATCAAAATCAAATTAATCAATATCATTTAATGTTATTTTATAATCGTTGATTTAATTTTAATTCAAAAATAAAGAAAATGATTATAAAAAAAAATTATAAATATTATCTCCCTCTCAAATTATATCAATATTTGCCAAATTTTATCTGACAAGTGAATTGAAGTTGTTAATAACTGAAAGTTTAAGAATGATTGTTTACCGTGTGCATGTTTTCCCGTGGACATTTTCATGGGTTAGCAAAATCATGTAATCTAGCTTGGAGACTGAGAATTCGAACCTCTTTAAGAATAATTTAATGAGAATGGAAATAGCTACAACTGTTGTTGCAGCTTCCACGAATAACTTTCATCTTTAACGATCACAACACTAAACTAATAATAACAAGTAATACAATTGTAAATGGAACAAAGAGAATTACAGTGATGAACCAATAACATGCACCAATTACGGCGAATAATAACCTGTTGATGGCAGAATCATAAGCCTCTCAAGTCACAAGAAAGATCTCTTAAAAACATTTCGCTGAAAGACGGGAAAATGAAATCCGAAGGCTTTGTTTTGGCTTATTGTTGGTGGATGCTTTTTTCCCAAGGTTTTCCTTCGGGTTTCTCAGAACACAACTATTACCATCGCATTTGTATCTTTTAGATTCTTGTGAGGACTCAGAGAAGCACCCAAAGATGTTTGACAGATACAAATACATTGGAAATGATATACAAAATGCAATTCTAAAACGAATGTCGTGTCATACTTTTGTATATATACATAAGAGCGGTGGTTGCGGCGGGCACAGGGCATTAAATAAAAGATTGGTCAATGTTGGCAGGCTCAAAACCTATGAAAATTCTATTTTCTTTGTTTATCAATTCATGGCCACGCGTTGCCTTTTCCCTTGGAGAAAGTTCACATTGGCCAAATGGTTTATTAATTAATATCATATATAAACGTGTTGAACTAGCTAGTTGGGTTGCTTATTTTTTCTGTGTGTTCACATCTCCGATATTGCTTTCTAGAAATATTTTTCAATTAAGTTTTCATCATCATCTGGTTGAAATTATTGGAGTAAGGACTATCCCTCGTATGATGACACAAAATTTTGTTGTGTAAAAGAGTCGAGTAGTTATGAAAACTGAGCAAGTAGGGGTGAGAATATGTGTTCGATCTTCTTCAACATTATTTTTGGAAGAATTTTAAAGCTTTAATCTTGAACTCGCCTCGAATTCCAGATTAGTCCATAAAAAATCTATAAAATTATCATAGGAAGAAATAATAATAATAATAAAAAGAGCGGAGAACCTTGAGTCCAGCTTAACTACATATATAAACTTAAAAAGAACAAACAACATAAAATATACCTCAATTCTAAATTCTAACATGAAAATCTCTTCAATGTAAAGGGTTAAAAATCATGAAATCTAGTTCAGAAGATTTTCACTATCAAAATAAGATGACAAGCTTGTCTTTCGGGTTTAAAATTCTATAGGGATGTATTACGATCAACTTACCCTCAACTAACATGGCTTACAAATAAATTTCTCCCACAAAGGAGGATATCTCTCTCTAAGGAAATATAATTCCTTCTCACACGCTCTCTTTCTCTCTTTTTCTTCAGTGATGACACTTGATTTTCTTCGGAGGTTTTCTTCTCTCGGTGTCTCTCTCTTTTGTGTCTTCCTTCTTACTTATATATGCAATAGCAGGAAAATGTCTCTTTTAAATAAGAGACTAGGACAGCATTGTAATTGAGTTTGATCCATCATGGATCACCAGCCTAACAAGTTTTGCTATTGCAACTTAAAGGGTTTTATTAGTATCATCTTACATAATATAGTCATCTTACCTTATGTTATAGAGAAAAAATGAGTGAATCTCATCATTACAAAAAAAAAAAAAAAGAAAAAAAAAAAGGAAGAGTGCGAAAATTGAAGTGAGAGAGCATAAGAGAATTTTTTTTTTGAATAACTTTTTTTTTTTTTTGAATAACAGCATAAGAGAAATTATCTCATGTGAAGGGAGAGTAATATTTCTCCAACTTAAAACGCATTTACAGACAAAATAAATGTACCATAATGTTTTTATAACAAATACTAAAAAATATAATATCTTTAAATGAAGGGTTTATGTTTTCTTACGTTACATAAGAGAATATATCTTCAACTATAAACACAATTTTCAATGTGGGATCCACTTGTAATTAAAGAAAAAAAAGTAAAAAACTGATTTGGAACTATTTATGTCTGTGTAGGAAAAATTGTTCTCTTATGTAACATAAGAAAACATAAACCCTTAAATGAATTATACATGTAGGGACAGTTTAACATATTAATGTTTAAAATGTAATCATACAAATTAGTTTAGGTAACAAGGAGCTTAATTCTTAATTCTTTTGAGAGTGAGAGTAATCATACATTACATGTAGGGACAGTAATCATATTAATGTTCAACTATCAAGATTGAAAATGTAACTTTCCGGTGTAAAATGATCCCGACCCTAAATATAGGAATAAGATCAACTTATATCATATGGATCAATTTAGGGTGTGCATAACAATCATTTTATTTCCTACCACTGTTTATATTTTCGATATGAAACATTTTTTTCTAATTTTGTGCTTTGGAAGAGTTCTAACAATAAAAATTTTGTTTGTTAACCCATTTTATTTTTATTATGAGAATTAGAATTATTTTTGTTTAACATATTTTTTTTTTATCCCGAGATTCAGAATAAAAATTGAAAATTCCTTCATCAATCGGAATTTGGGTTTCCTTCTCACAATCCCAATTCACACAGCAAACAACTCTGATTCTGCTTGTAAGAAACAACGTTTACAGGTTCGATCATTTTCGTTCTTCGTGCTTTTTGCATATTTCGTTTTATCAATCTGCAATCTTGAATTTGATCCAGCGAAATTCGATGCTTTTTTGGTTTACAATCAGATTTCCAGATACCCATTTTGTTGGTAATTGATGGGTTTGGTTCGATAATTGTGTAGGTGAATAAGTAAGAAGTAGATAGAGAGAATGAAAAAGAAAAAGAAAAAGAAAAACAGAAAAGTGATTCTCTTTTTTGTGTCCTGAGAAAGCAAAAAAAATTATTTCTTTATTTTTATTCATCAATATAAATTAAATTGATTCATCCCCGAAACAAAAAAAAAATTGATTTTAGCAAATGCTTTTTCTATCCATTTCTGTTTCTGGGACAGAAATTAAAATAATAATAATTAATTGTAGATGATTATCTATCTATTTCTATTTTCGGAACAGAAATTAAAAAAAAAAAATTAATTGTCGGATGGTTAACATCAATGATGCACCGACATTGACACGAGACACGACACGACACGTCGACACGTAAATTTTAAAAAATGTCATATTTCGACACATTAAGACACGTTTTGATATTAAATAATATTTTTAATATATAAAATATAGTTTACATCTAATACATATAATCCATAATAAGTTATATACGCAATCAAAAAATTTCATAACTTAAATATAAAGAAAAATAATAAAACATCATATAATCAATTAAATATTTTTATAATTTTTATTCTTTTGATTTTTGATTCAATCTTTAAAATTTCACTTATTTAGTAAAACGGTGCATATTTCTATTCCGGAATCATTTCTTCTTCTTTTTTCTTTTTTTTTTTGGACAAACCACTTTCTTTTTCTTCAGAACAACCTTCACGTGTAAAGTAACTGTAAAAAGATAATCATACATTACATTAAGACATTAAAAAAATAATGCATGACACGAGCAAGTATATCTAGAAATTGATATCATCATAACATGGAACGAGTCCAAAACTATACTACAGTGTACGTGCATTACAGCAGCAATCCATTATGAGGAAGTAGCCGCTAATTAAACCACATGTTGTTTCTCCGGCGGCACTTAATGTAGAGGGTAAAGAACCTTGGATACATCACCCCAAAAGTTAGCTCAAAGAATGAGAGTGCCTAATATCTTATAAACTCCACATTAGTTGCACATACAACTAATGTGGGGACTATATATCTCAATAGTAACAAAATAATAAAATATTAAAAGTTGAACCCATTTCTATTCTGAAACCTTTTTGTGAAAGCATATTCTCCCTCATTTCTTACCCATTTTCACAGTCGTCCTATTCATCGCTTCTACTCACATCCTAATCTTCAATGGCAGTTGTACGAAACGGCAAGTAACTCAACCTCCACTCCACCTCCGAGATCTCTAACCTCCACTCCCATATCCTCGTCTCTGTTTCCCTATCCCTCTTCCCCAAGCCTCCACCGCCGACGCCACCTCATGCTCACCACTACTAGTCTTGGTGTACTCACACACAACAGATCAGATCCTTGCTCATCGTGCTAGTCATCTTCTTCTTCGCCAGGCTCTTCGACCACTCCTTCACCTCTTGCATCCTCACGCCATACGGTGTGTTGGGTATGGCTCATACTTCACATGATGATGTTGGCCCTAATTGTCGGGGTGAGCAGAAAGGCAACCTCTGTTTTTATTGTAATTTTCTTAGCAGTTTGGGTTTGACCCATGAATAGCTGCTGTTAGGGTTTCTTGTAATCCTATTTATATTTGCCTTGTAAACCGAGAGACTTGTAACGAGTGGCGGTGAGGTGAATATAGTACAGACAAGCTGGACGTAGCCTATATTAGGTGAACCAGGGTAAATCATCGTGTCAATCTCTCTACTCTTATCTCTTTTTCTGTTTTCTCGATTATGTGTGATTGTCGATTTCCAACATCCTTTTCTTCTTAATGTATAATTATTTGTATGAAGATAAACGATCACAAAACTTGGGGTGCATGTGTTTTTAGGTTCAAAGCAATTGCAGGAGGAAGGGGATTCTTCTTCAAAAAACAAGCAGGTGGTGGTGGAAGGTGCAGCTCCCCATCAAGAAAATCAAAACCTGCAAATGCCCAATGTGCTAAGAATCGTGCGCCAAGCTCTTCCACCGAATGCAGAAATCAGTGATGAAACAAAGATAACAATGGTACAGTGTGCGACTAATTTCATTAGCCTCATCACTAGCGAGGCTAAAAGACGGTGCGAAAGCGAGCAACGATCATCTGTTACCGAAGAAGATTTGTTATGGGCAATGAGGAGGTTAGGTTTACATAATTATGCTGCCTTTTGCACTCTTTACTCTGCATATCGTGGCGGACCTGTTCCAGCTGCACAACCAGCTGTGATTGCAAATGATAGTGTGCCACCACCATTATCAACAGCTTCTGATGCCCCAACGGAAAAAGATGAGTCAGGAGCTGGTACCAGCTCAAGTGGTGCCAAAGTTTACCGCTTACCTTAATCCTGACGAATTCTTCGATGACTGAGATGGCCGAAGAACGAAGCAATGCATTTGTAGCGTGGTGATCCAAGACAAATAAAATGTTATGTTTGCTTTATCAATAAATAAATAAAATAAAATAAAGAACGAACCTGTTTTATTTAGTGAAATTTATGTTGGAATTTTCTGATTATTTTTATGGTCTCTGCAATGCAATCAATTATTATTTTCGATTTGGCAAAATAGAGGCTAATATGTGAATCAATTTGAATATACTTAAAAGTGAGCTAATTCACACCTTTGTTAAATGTGCTTTTGATAGCAAGATGCCATAAAATTATCATCTTGAATTTTTTCAGAATATCCTCGGGGGCTGTTTGGTAGCCGACTTATTTTGAGATGCCCGGGCAAGCCAGCTTTGACATAAATTAAACCCGCGTTTGGTAAGCAAAAAAGCGAAGGTTTCCAGAGTACAAAGAAATGCCGTGAATTTGTATTGTGTGTTATGTACAGTGCCAAATCCAATTGTTAAAGTCCATAGAAAACGTGGAAGTGTTTCAGTCCCAGGCAAATAGCATTTGAGGCGCGAAACTATTGACTAAAATAACCCTTATTTTGGGTTTGCCTTGTATTTGAGTTGCTTTAGCCGCTTCGCTTGTCCGACGACGAAGAGGGGCCAATGACTCTCTCAAACGCTTCCTCAGGGAAACCACACATTCGATGCCAAAGCAGAGATGTCGACCAGCCTTTTCCTTTGGTATCTCACAGCAAACCCTTTTCGTTTTCAAAACCACAATATAATATTTCAAATAAAACATAAATCTGAGGTTATTTTCGTAAAATACTCACACTTTCCCATTAATATTTCATAACTAACCAAACACACATTCAGTAAAATTAACCATAAAATCCAGGAAAATTTTTATCATACCAAACACCTTTTAATAATATTCCAGAACATATATATTCCCCAGTTATAATTGTTTCCCAGATAAATAAAAATTTCTCCTCTACCAAACGCTCCCTCAATGTATTTCCGCTGACTCAACCACAATCTTCCTTTGTCACGCCCCTTCTTAATTTGCATACCCAAAAATCACATTGTTTGCTCCTAGATCTTTTATTTCAAATTGCTTTGCCAGGAGTCCTTTCACAGCGATGATCATCTTTAAATTATTTCCAATGAGTAACACGTCATAAACATACAAAGTTAGAATAACAAAGTCACATTCTATAATCTTTTCACATAAATACAACGATCAACATCACAATGATCAAAGGCAAGCTTTACCATATAAGTGTCGAACTTCAGGTACCACATCTCGAGAGAACTACTTTAGGCCATACAGAGATTTATTCAGCTTGCATACTAGCTCCTCTTTGCCTCTCCTCCCTTAAAATTAATTAAATAAATAATATTGCATTTTATCATTCATAAAACTATTATATAACAAAATAAAAATAAAAATAGAAATATTCATAATAAAAACGTGGATAACATCCAATATTCAGAGACGGTCATCCATAACCGACTTTGTGAGAGGGAAAGAGGGTTGTGCACTGTTTTCCAAAAAAAAAGAAGAAGAGGGCTGTGTATTCATGGTTTTGGTTCCAAAACCCACGCTTACTGTCAGTTCTATACGTACGCCATCTAATTAGGGAGAGAAAGGATTTATAAGGGTTGAAATCAAACACTTCTCACAAACTTTATGTGATTTAATCCTTTTATTTTCAATCCACATTGATCTAATTTATGTGATCATGATTAGATTGTTTAAAAATATCTATCATTTGATACTAGAACATTTCATTTTTCGTTTTTGATTTTTGCTATGTTACGTATATAAGTATTTAGTAAAAAAAAAATTATTTCAATGTTATAATTTAGAATCTTTTATGAAAAATAAGGTTAAAAACATAAGTAAAAAGGATTTTTAGCATTGTTATGTTTTAAACTAGGAAAAAATATTTCTGTTTTTGTTGCATAAATATTTTCTCTGTCACACACACATAAAAATGAGTAAGTCTCATTTTGAAAAGAAAAAACAGAAGAAATTAGTAAGATTCATTCACTTTTTTGTAAGTGTGACAGTGAAAATATTTCTGCAGTAAAACATAAATGGGTTTTATAAGAGTTATGTTGTAGGAAAAGTGATTGTGTTATGTTATAGAGATTCGTTTTGCGTGCCGAAGTTTTTTTTTTTTTTTTTTGCTGTGGGCCCCACAAAATGTTGTGTGTGTAGGAAAATTTTTGTGGTCATGTTAAATGATAGATGATAAACCCCAACATAAATATATGTTAAACCTTTAAACTATATATCGATTTTGTCGTGTGGAATCAAAGTTGACTGCATGTGCGAGTTAAACTAAGACGACGACAATAATAATTGTGATGATTGATGATAATATCTGTTTATTAATTGGTGGCAAATTTTCCCTCATCATTTAATTTGATTTTCTTCAAATAGCGGTCAAACAAAGTGTATTAGAAAAACATAGACAAATTAAGCTCAGAAAAGAAATTAGAAGAAATTAATCATATTAACCATGTTTGGCAAGGATATTTCAGAGTAGATAGAGTCTCAACTTAGTACTTGATCTGCTTGTGGTGTGCTCTTAACTTTTGCTGCATAATCCAGCTGCTAAACAAAAAAGAAAAGAAAATTAAGAACTTCAATTAGTCTAAACTTTCACAACCCTAATTAAATTGATAAAGCACCATGGGGTTATCTCGTTTCCCCAATCTTTTTTTCAACTAACATTGCTGATATCCTGGAAGAGCTTGCCATTAAGTTCCTTGAGTGAATGATTCTGGCCCTTAGGCTTAATTTGCAATGACGGAATTGTTAAGGTCATACAGAAGATATATACTCCCCTCAGATGCAACAATGTCCTTGGCTGACTCCTTTGCCCTTTGTGCTGCCCCACATGGAGACCATGGTTGAAGAAGAAAGTTTCTTTCAGTGGCTGCTGAAGATCTCTTGGTTAATCTGAGGTCTGTGTAAACCTGCCAAATTCCATATATAACACACCTATATACAGCTGTAAGGTTATAATAATCTTCATTTTACTTTCTTTATATAGTCAGGTCTAATTTTTTTCCCCATGTCTGTCTTTCGTTATAAGTACTCAAAGTTTTCCTACCCCAATTCTATATTCATCTTTCATCATTCAATGCAACATCTATGAACCATTTTCTGTTTAAGACTTGCTGGGTGTACAATACTACAATGACACGTGAAAATTAGTGATTTCCACTATACAAGCCATGATCATTGACTTTGTTGAGATATATAAAACCAATAATATAGCTTCACCCAACAGCTTAAACTTTTGGGTTGAATTGGTTCTTTAAGACTTAATGACCCTTATAATCAAACGGGACATCTCTTATATATCTTGAGTATATATAGAAAATTGAATCATCCAGAAAATTTAGGTAACCAAGCAAAATGTGTAAAACAAAGCATGTCAAGAAGAAGGCAGATCAGAAAGCACGAGCAACAAGAAATTAATTTGAAAAAAAAAAACTCAGAAATCAAGCTAAGTAAAAAAAAGGCATAATTTGAAGGATCTTACAGATTGTCGAGAAGCAACCTGGCGACAGAGACCGGTAATGGTGGATTGGTGCATGGTTGTCATAGTTTGTGAAGAAGAAGGAGAAAACATCCATAGAGTCTGAATTTTGTAAAACATGAATTGATTTCGAGCCCATATCATTGAAATAAACTACAAGGCCATATTAACGTAAAATTTTACATTAATGTACTTATATAATCCATCTCAATATTAATATTACCTGTATAATGAACAATAATCAATACATCACACAATGAACGTGATGAAGCTCATATCATTCTCATGCTTAAGGAGTTTTTCTTCACACTATAAATACCCTCTCTCCTCCATGAGAGAGATCATCTCTTTCACCATTACCATTAGCCTACAGAGAGCACTGTTCATTGCCATAACAGTGCCTTTACACCTCCCCTTGATTCATAACTTGCTTGGGACCTCTACGCATGGTGAACTCTATTAAGATATATTTCAATACTATTGTTTTTTTTGTTACTGTTACATTGATTTACTAGGAATATATCACCCTTCTTTTCCCTTAACAAATTCAGGTATTAAATTTATCTGATACCAAATGATAAATATTCTTAAATGATGTAATCGATCATGCCTACATATCCAAATAGCAATAAGATCATTGCGGAATGAAAATAAAAGGATTGAATTGTGCCTCCTACCATTATTGTTCATTCAAGGTTATAATTAAGTAGTATTTGGTTTCGACTATTATAAGTAGTATTTTTATAAAAGCTCTTACTATAATTTTTTTTTTATATAATATTAAAAAAAATCTAAAATCTCTTAAGAGAAACTTTTTTTTTTGAAGATGTATACCAATTTTTTAGAAAAAGTTATATATTATTTTACCAAATAATTTGTTTTTAGCTTGAGAAAATAAAATAGTTTGTATAACCACCAAATAACTTTTAATTTTTTAAAAGTTTTTATTTTTAACTTTAACTTAAAAAATAGTTTTAGCATAAAAAATGTGTCAAATATGCTTTAAATCATTTCTTTTACGGCCTATGTGGTGTATTTCAATCTGGGTAAGAATGAGTTTAGAGAAAAAAAAAATTCATGAGTGTATGCCCCTTTTATAAGCTCTTCCCTTCGTAAAGTCGATTATGAATGTGCAGCAATAAATGATGATGGTTTCTAAACATTGGAAAAATACATTATGCACATTTAGGAGTGTAGTCGGGTCAGACGGCATGTCAAGGGCCTACAACTTGATCTATCATAGCATGATATGTTTTAAAAATGGTACAAGCTGCAGATTCATTAAACTGTATATTTAGAAATCAGGCTTCAACTTCATTTTAAAAGACCTTACCTATATACCTCTAGGTCCAACATGTGATTTTTTAATAAATAATATCTTATGATATTTTTGCAAAACAGTTAAATTATCAATGTTTCGGATTGTGACGTGGCTTCAGTTATTCTATTATTTTGACTTTCAATCAACTTAAAAAACAAAAGAAATGAAGTATCATAAATTATAATTTATAAAATACAATATGTCATTTTTGAAGACTCTGTAGATTTGATAGATTATACCAAATCTTATATTTTTTAAAAACAAGTCAGGTCAAATTTATAATTTGATTTATATTAAGCTAATAAGTCAACACCAACTTAAAATATTTTATACAAATCTAACTCATTCAAGCTAAAGTTTGGTTTGACATGACTAATTTATACGTACCCCTATCCTATTTATATTTGCCTTGTAAACCGAGAGACTTGTAACGAGTGGCGGTGAGGTGAATATAGTACAGACAAGCTGGACGTAGCCTATATTGGGTGAACCAGGGTAAATCATCGTGTCAATCTCTCTACTCTTATCTCTTTTTCTGTTTTCTCGATTCTGTGTGATTGTCGATTTCCAACACGGTGCTTTGTGTCTACTGTCTATTTTTTTTTTTTAATTTTTTTTTGAAGATTTTACATTTATACCCTTTGATCGTGTCGGATACGGTCAAAATCGAGTGTCGAGATAGTCAACGTGTACTAAAATATTGACCGCGTGTCATAACGTGTCGGAACGTGTCGTGTCCGACACGTACATTTTAAAAAAAATAATGTATCCGTGCTTTGTAAGTTATCATGCACACCCTTACACCAGTATAAAAATAATAAGTCTTACATCAAATATCTTACAAATCAGAACCGTTGGATATAAATAAAATCAACAATCAAGATTAAATATAACTTACACCGATATAAAATGATCATAACCCTCAAACATATTCTCTTAATTCGATTTTAAAAACTATAAGTAGATGACATTGTTTTTAGAGTTATTTTTCCAAAACAATCATATCACATAAGTTTTTGTTTTTGTTTTTTGCCAATTTAAGAAGAAAAAAGTATTTGTCATTTTAAATGACACAACTTGTTTTATTTTACTCTTACAAAAAGGTGGTGAGACTCACACCTTTATTTTTTTTTTTGTTCATTCTCTCCCCCGTTATCTATCTCTTTTTTCATTTAAGAATGCTTGAAAGATTTCAACTATCCGCAGTTATAGTACTGAATAATGTGACGATTAATTTGTTGCTTGCTACATACTCTTTTCACAATCTAAATGTCAGGCATTGCCGTTTTAAGGCCCTTAGCTCCAAGAAAAAAAAAAGTTTCAGCTATATAACTTAAAAAATAACAAAGTTGCATGCATTGAAGAAAGAATATAGTAAATGAAAATCTAAAACCAAAATTTTAACAGTAGAGAGTTTGTGGTATATATAATTCGAACTTTTCGTACACCACCAATCAACTAATTCCAAATGGTTAGAATCAAAAGTACTCAACTCTGAATTTTAAAATAATCGATATACAAGTTGCGTCACATCTTTAAATTTTAAAATGTTTAGTAAACACATATTCACTCTAGCTTTATAGAGATAATTACTTACGATAAATTTATAAAAGACAGATGTAACTGAATTATGTAACTAAATAAAATAGACTTACTCAACGATTTCCTTTTGGTTTAGATGATTTTTTTCCGCAAACTTCAACTGAAATTATTAAGAAGCTTTTAGAGATGAATCAAATTCTTATTAAATGGAGAAAAAATAGCTTTATTCTGAATTAATTGTAAAATCAATAACAACGTACAACAAGGAAAAAACAAAAAACAAAATCTACAGCAGCCTCTTCCAATGGTTGCATAAAGAACCACAGATCCTTGTTCAGCCAGAAAATCAACACATACAGTGCTGAATAAGTCTCTCTCAATCCCGTTTAACTAACGCATGAATATCATCGAATACAGATATACTAATACTGCTACTGGGGGTCTTCGAATATATTAATTACAGTGAACTGGTATCGTTTTCTATTTTTAGTTTGGTTTGGCGTACTATTTGATAACTAGTTGATGTTACATACATATATTTTTATTTTTATTTTTGTAAATACATACATATATTTTAAAATATAAGTAATATTAACTATAGAAAAGTTATACTTACGACCTCTACTACTAAATCTTAACCGTTGATTTTCGTCAATTTAACGGTTATAATTTATGGAGTCATATTTATTAATTAATTATTAATTTTCAATAAATTATAACCGTTAGATTGGTGGAAATCAACAGTTAAGATTTGGTAATAAAAGGTAGTAAAAAAATTAAGTTATATTGCATTCTATACTTTAAAACTACTCCCGTTAAACCTAGCGAGTGTGGGGTAGAGGTAATCCTTGTACATAACTTTACCCTTGCATACTTACAAAGAGGTTGTTTCCTAAATTCGAACGGATTAACTTTATGTGTCTGTTGGTTTTCCAAAATAAATGACACAGCAGTCAACTATAAAACTTTAGGAACTTTTAAAAGAATATTAAAATAAAAGAAGATAATTAAAATTCAACAAGTTCTGAATTCATAATTTGGTCACTGTATGAACCCTTTTGCAAAATACAAGCCTTTTCAGAGAGGATTAATCACCTGTAGCTGGCTTCTTTCCGTCAACGAACAAGCCCATCGTTTTGAACCAACGCAGTAGATTTCGATGTTCCTTCACATATAGCCATGCCTGAAGAAATTTAAAGAGGCTCTCATTTACTCCTCGCTCCTCTACGTAACTATGAAATGCATCTCTCATCCTTTCATCTAGTTCTCTGTCAATCCAGTTTCCCACTAACAAACATTAGAATTAACAAGCGAGATTACAAGGTATATGGTATAAAACTTTTAGCTTTCTAAAACAGCATGCATGTTCATATTTTCCACCAACCCAAGAACTAATTACAATTCAGCAGCTTCTCCTTAGTAAACCCTGCCTATGAAGGTACTCATATGAAGATAATCTTCTCTTGCAATCAAATGTACTCAAAAGCATTCTCCCCAATATATTAGTTGGTAATTAGTTTTACTTAAAATGTTTGAGAACTTAATTAAATATATTCAGCAAGCAATAAATATTTGACAACTAAAACATAGATATTAGAGTAAAATTGTTTCTATGAATTGAAAATTGGCACAAGTTTAGACACAAGAAAACAGAGGTTGAGAAAAATGTTAGACTTACGCAAAAACAGGACCAGTGTATTGTGAAGGAATAAGGAGGTAGCCAGAGTCTTGAAGCTTAGGTCTCATGGAAACAGAGTGAATCCCCAAAGCATCCTCGTACAAACCACATAGGAAAATCAAGGATTCGTTCTGCGCAGGTTTGGACACGTCAACGTGAATGAAAAGCTGCTCAATCGCACCGTCTTCTTCCTCACCGCTCGACAATCGCATGACGTAGATGCTCACCTCTTCGTCGCCGTAGCTGCGCTTGAGAACGGGACCGTGTGAATCCAGCGCTCCCTTCACGATCGTGAATGGAGATGGAGGACTCACTTTCTGCGATGAAAATCAAAAAATGTCATTGTTAGTATCTAAAACCCTAAACCCTAGGAGAGAGAGAGGAGAGGGGGGGAGAGAGTACAGGGGGCATGTTCATTTTGGCGACTTCCAGATAGTGATCCTTGAGCGAGCGGAGAAGCATGGAATCCACGGCGGAGGATATGGTGGTTGCGCTGCGAACTCCCGACGTATATGGACGGCGGAGTGCTGCGGCGGCGGCGGCGACGACGAAGGCTCTCTTCCACATTTGTGCTTCTAGCTGTGTGTGTTGCAGCCGTCAGTAGCCAATTTAACCCCTCAACTGAGTAAACTGAAATGAAAAACATAGATTAGTAGTTAATAATAAGAAAAACATAGATTAGTAGTTAATAATAAGATTACAAAAAACTCATTTTATGTTTAAGAAAAAAAATATATACGTATGTTATAACTTAGGGTAATAGTTTTCTTATGTTGCAGAAGATATGTATTATCTCCTACACACTCATTGGTGCAGGTGGGGTCCATTCTTAGAAGAAGAGAAAGAAAAAGTAAAGTGAGACCCATTTTAAGTTTGTGTGTAGGAGATAGATTATATTTTATGCAAGAGTAATAAATCCCTATAACTTACACGCTTTACAAAAAAAAAATAGAATATTCTAACAATCAATTAGGATTACTTTACTGTTGAATAATTTTTTCATTAGATCGGTTATGTTGATCCAAGAGTTTCATCTTTGTATGGTTATGATTTCACATTAAATATGGAGAATCATAACCATAGAAAATAAATATAAAATATTTATTAATATCTTAATTGATTGTTATAATTGTCTACCCCTAAAAAAAATTAAAGTTTAAAACACGTATTAACTGATATTTAGAACATATTTTAAGTGTCGCCATTATTAATTTTTAAACTACTTTTTAAATTATTACTTTTAACAAAAAGATTAATCACATTTAAAATTATAATGATTTTGTTGAAAAGTGCGGTTGTTTCGCTAAAATAATTCTTTTCTTTTTTTTAATTATAAGAATCGTTAAAACAACTTCAGATAACGACAATATACAGTAATCACACTCAAGACAAATTAATTATTCTTTTGATGGAATTGAGACTGTAATATTTTAAAGAATCGTGAACCTAAAGAGTTGTTTGAAAGGGAAAAGAGCGGTGCTGAGGAAAATGTTTTGAGGACAATTATTAGGACTACTAGATTTTGAGACTCAGATGAATCAATAGTTAAGAAAAAGTACCCAAATAAAATGCCCAAAATTATTTGACAAAGTACCATAAGAGATGGCTCAAATAGTAAATAAATTTGACAAGGTGGGTAATATTATTTCTGCTTGCAGATTAATTGCCAAACATTGTCCCTGTTCTCATCTATTATTCATTTTTGACACGTATATATGCTTCTCCCTCTTAGCAGCATCATCGTTAGATAGCATCATGTGAATGACTTTCAGCCAAACATCATGCAGAAGGAATTCCATATTAAAAAATCCAATGGTCACCTGTGTCATCAATGTTCTATTACATTAGCTTCCATACCATCGACAACTGAAAAGAAATTTTCACTTGGTCAAAACCTCAAACAATACCCAAATTCAAAGCTCTGATCTCTCCAACTTGTTAAAGGAGTTATTTTAGATTCAAAACCTGTCCAACGAAAAACTTCTTACATATATACAGAAGAAGTTAATAGTACATTGTAGGGTAACTGAAAAAATACATGTGATTTCAGAATTCTATTAGCTTCGGCTCTGAAGAGACTTGCTTGCTTGTGAGGCTAAGACCATTGCCTTGGCTCTTGTGCTCATCAACATCAAATCTCGCACTGCACGGCGCTGATGTTGCCGAGCATTTTTTGCTCGCTTTGGAGCTAATCGGTTGTCCCTTTCCACAAATGCAAGTCTGAATTTTTCAGCCACTGATAATTCAGTTGAACTTGAAGAAGATGGATAGATGGGCTTCATTGCAAACCCATGCACTGTCCATGTTCTGGGATCAATATCCTTCACAACTGCATCATCCAATATGATACTTTGTAATGCTTCCCAAGGAACCTGAGTTCCCTTGAACCCAGAGGGAGATGACTTGGGATTTACTACAATACGCGGGCACTCAGTGGAAAAATCCTCTAAAGAATTATTATCAATGTTTGGCTGCAAAAAGAAAATGTAAGATTAAATTAGCATAAATTCTTGAACAATTGTCAGTCAAGAAAAGATATTAGCAACTCCTATTTTATACATGCTACACCAATCAACCAAAAAGCTTTATCTATCCCACAAGGGGCTTTTCATTTTTACTTGGCTTTCAATTGTTAACGTGATCCTCAGTTTTCCCCTAATGAACTTGTCAGAGAAGTAACATTAATTGGAATTATTCCAGACAGACAGTGGACCATACTAGTGTCAAGTAATCAGTGTTGTTGACCATTATTCATCTACAGCTGAAAAAACACCATCCCTAACCATCCTTTATCCCTTATTTTTTCCAACTCCCTAACTCCATCCCTCTCTGGGCTGGTGGGAGTGCAGTGTATGTCTCTCTCTGTCAACCCATCCTACCTTAAAACAAAGACATACACATATGCAAGAGAGCATACAATTTTGCATTTCAGAAAGGACTAAAATCTGCAGTCAATTACAAACTACAACTACCCAGACAGAAAGTTTTTAAGTTCATACCCATACTAGCCACCTGAGTGATTGTGCACCACTAGCAATTTCTTTCGTATAAAGCTCCTCCCAAGAATCCTCCTCTACAAAATCCAGCCTTGGTTTAAATATACTCAAGCATCTCCGAGCAGTGTTGTCACTCCTGGGACACCCTCTGCAATATTAACTATGGTTCATTGCCTGTTATGAGGTTTGTAATCCTAGTTAACACACAATCTTGTGGCCAGTGTGATTGCAGTGGATGAAAAGAAAAACATTATGTGATATAGTAGGAAACTACATCATGAAAGAAAGAAAAAACATAAATGAGTTTTAAATTTTAAATAAGTACATAAATTTCCTCCATGTCAATTTACTTTCTTTATAAAATAAAACTAAAAATAAAAGTAGAATAACTTTCCCAGTAAATATAACTTCCCAAGTTTCAGATTACGTTTCCATTGTGAGAAGAAACCAAATACCAAAGCCAAATTTTGGCATATAAATAAATGAGTAGGTAAATAAGATTTGATCATCTTTATAAGTGATCTCGATTTACATATCCTAACTACAAAAGTTAACAGATGAAGCAGTAATGTGAATGATGTACCTGTACCATTAAACTATGTGTACAAGAGGAAAAAGGGAAGAAAGAGCAACCAACAAGCAGCAAAAATAGGTGATGAAGTGGCTGAGGAGTCGGCTGTGCAAGTAAATGATGAGGTGGAGGGAAGAGATGAAATGGATGATGAGCTGGCTGCACAAGAGCCTGATGAAGGGGCGGATGAGCTGGAAAATAACAGAATGATGGTGATCAAAGAGAGAGAAGGGAAGTTGGTTAGAGAAATGGACACATGGCAAGATCTAAATGGAGAATCAGTAGTGGGAGGGATGCAAGGGAAGTAAGGGGAGTTAGTTATATTGGAAAGGTGGGGAATGGTGGAGGGTATGGAATTTGTGTAAACAGGAAAAGGGGATTTGGGTAGCTCTGCAAGGTGGGTTGTTCCTTGTAGAGAGGAGTGTCTTGAATTGTCTTTATCTTTGTTGGTTATTAGTGTCATTTACGAGTATAATTACCAGGAGTCTATGTTGTAGTCAATTTGGTGAATCTGTGTTGATGTCATTTGGATTAGAGTCATGGAGTCTGTTGTTGAATTGTCTCTTTTTCATCAATTTGTGAGTCTGTGAATATTACTGCAAGGGCTAAGTTCCCATATTAATACAAAAATTACTGTTATACAATTTTGGTGCCATCAGTGAACATGGTATTAAAACGGCCCATTGAAGCAAAATTTCAAGTTGTCAAGTTTTAAGTAATGAATTGACTGACAAACGAAATGCACTCTAAAGCATCTCAATGGGAAAACTTTATTAATGATGAAATATAACTTAAAATGGATAATGCAAGATATGTACCCGCATCTCAATGTCTCCAATGAATGGCAGTGCTTCACAAGTTCAGATATACCAGCAGCAGTAATTTTGGTGCATCGGCTGCAAATAGTCTCAATATATCAAGTATTCAAGAGATTCTGAAAGAGAGAAAATTATAATATAAAAACATACTGGAAACTACAAATGCTTGTTAGCATGCTAGACATGAATATCAATATGCTAACCTCTAGGCAAGATGTTGATGGACCAGAATGGAAGTGAAGAAAATTAATAATCATCACAATAGAAGTAAAACCATGAAATACAAGTACATTTACAATGGAAAACTTAAACTGAAACTTCAATCTACATTGATCACCCACTTTCAATAAACTCATAAAATAGTTCATACACCCAAATATTTCCTGGACATGCATCTGTTAGCTGGTCCATTGCACGGGCCATACCACATATTCTTATAGTATCACATAAACTTAAGACAACAAGCTATAGCATATCATATGAATGCCTTATAAAATCTGAATATACATCAAAAGCCTACAAAAATAGGACAACTTTTTTTTCCGACATATTTTATTCTCATATATCAAGGATCTTTGGCATTACAATGAACTTATAGTAACTGCTTTGTTAATTTAAAAAGAAAAAGGAGTCATAATTCTATACCTTATATCTAGAGCTTTAATGAATCTACATACTTGAGCTGCTTTGATCAAACCAAAATCGGAAACATCTGAGCCAGATACATCAAGGATTTCCCAGGAAGTATCAGCCAATGCGATCAGGACATCATCATTCAGCAACTTTCTTCGTCTAGCAATAGCTGCCACTGCTATCTGTCATTAAGTGTTACTTCTTTAACTGTGAGTAGTCACAATGAAGGATTTTTTTATTTTTTTATTTTTTCTGGACACAACATAATGAATGATTACTAACAAGGGATATACAAGAAGTGTTCAGGAAGGAAAGAAGAACAACTGTCAACCACTTAAGAATATCCTTGTTCACCAAGCCAGTGTCTCAACAACGGATAATTTTTTCGGCAAAGAAAACCGGCTATCCCGAAGAAACATTTGTTTCCAAGACATTTGCATTTAGCATGCTATAACTCTAAAATTTCACTTTTAGACAAGTATATGTGCATTTTGATAAATGATCGATCAAAAGATTTGAAGAAATAGAATCATTCTCTAGCAAGCTACCTTTATATCAGGTGGCAAGTTCACAGCAATCTCACCCAAATCTAAAATAATATCCTCCAAATGTCTTCCGATAACTCCAATGCAGAGGTTGACTAAACTTGGAGGCTTTGTCTTCTTAGGTAGTAACCCTGCACAAAATTTCTCAAAGAATCTTAGTTAATGCCTTTTTTGTGTGGCGTATGCTTCAGAAAAAGCAATTAGTGCAAGGTGCCACCAAGGTTTAAACCTATGACCTCCCGTAAATTGTAAACTACCAAAACCTCTCCCAACTAAAATACACCTAGTGGCTCCTTCAAAGGAAAACAAATTTAAATCATTCAACTCACGTTGCAAACTCAAAATGAGCTTCCTCATTTTGATATGAGTCTAAGGTCAAAACCTAACTAAACAATGTCCTGTTGTCACAGAATTAAAGATATGAGATCAATCACAACAAAGGCCCCAAATGAGTGTTTTTATTTATTTATTTTTATTTTTTCCCCAAAATTTTCTACTTGAAATTGTCAGAAAAAACAAAGAACCGCTGCATCTCAGAGTTGTTTAGTTTTGTCAACGGTCTTTCAATTTCCATTGAGCCCCAAAACACAGAAAGTACAATTGATCATAGAGCTTCGAAAGTTTAAAGCTTTACCAAAAACCAAACAAAAACATAATACCTAACCCCACCTCAAAAAAAAAAAAAAAGAGGAGAATAGAAGCTCTGCTTAATACAAATACAAAAACAAATTGAAAGAAAGAAGGGGAGAAGAGGTCCAAAACAAATTACCGGGAAATTGAGGGTGGGTGATTCTAATGGAGGATTTGGACTTGATGTTGGATCCAGGATTCAAGTTGAGGTTTTGCAAAGGGGTCACTAATGCCTCGTCACGTTTATCTTTGTCCATCAAAGATCACAATGAAAAACAAAAGATAATTTGTACCAAAAAAAAAAAAAAAAAAAAAAGATAACAGACACAAAGAGAAAGACGAAAGACCCAGAATTCACACGAGCCACAATAGACGATGTGAATTTATTCTAATCATTTCTCTCTCTCTCTCTCTCTCATGCTCTGAAATAAACGAAGCCGACTTTACTTACTCTTAATTTGAAAATAATATTATTATTTTCAAATTAATCTTTTTATATTACACCTAAGTACATTTGTTAAAACTGTAAATAGTAAAAATAATAATGTAAATTGAAACAAAATTAAATTCTTTATTGAAAAGTATAATTCCAATTTTTATAAAATTTTGGGACAGGATATACTTATCACCAAAAAAGTTTATTACATTTACAAACAACTAAATTATCGTTGATTTCCGTCAATTTAACGGTTATAATTTATTGAGAATTAATAATTAATTAATAAATGTGACCCAAGAATTTTCAATAAATTATAATCATTAGATTAACGAAAATCAATGGTGATTAAGTTAGTTGTAAAACTTATAAATTTTTTGGTGATAAGTATATTGTTCCCTTAAAATTTTAACTATTTATTTATGGGAAAAATGTTTGTCCTTTTAAATGACACAACTTATATCATTTCACTCTCACAAAGAGGTGAGACTCACACCTTTATATTTTTTTGTTCACTCTCTTTCCTTCTTTATCTATCTCTTTCTCTTAAACTGACACAACTTTACATTCTTTAGAATAGAATGATACACACTTTTTCCTTCATTTATTCAAAGTAAGTTAAAGGAAAATAGAATGTTATATTATAATTTATATGAATATATATAGGGTTTGGGCTCTCCGCCGACATCTTCTTTTCAAACCTGAAAAATTTAGGTTCGATATATTCGGCCAGAACATATAGCCCATAAACTATGACTGGCCTTATCATCACTTACCAGTTACTAACAAAATTATAACTCACTTGGTATGACCTGAGTATACTATGATTATTACCGTTCATGCACATGTAGATGAACATTAGGAATTTGAATTGTTTGTGTGGACTTTTTGACCACTGTAGCCCTTTATTAATAATTAATTACCAAATTGCCCTTGATTAGAAACTATTTCGAAAAATTAACCCCTCCAAAAAATATAACATCAATCTACCCTTGTTTGACCGTTGACCATCAAGCCTACCTGAGTATCACCCTCCCTACCCGGGTATTTTTTGAAAATTCAACCTTACCTGGGTAGAGAGGGTGATACCTAGGTATAGTTCTTAAATCTGGAAATTTGGTTGAATTATTTACCCGGGTACGGAGGGTAATACCTGGGTAAATTTCGCGGGTAGGGTTTTTATATAACCCAACAGCCCCCATTTGGAAAACCCACAAAGGGATATCCGGGTAGAGCTGCTGGAGTTGTTCAATAACGCGATTGCACTCCCAAATCTTGCTGAAATTCTTCCTCATTGTGATCATCAGTTCGCGCAACCTTGTTTGCCTCCTTCTACCGATTGAAATCCATTGAAGGTTTATCTTTTTTTCTTTTTATCCATTGGGTTCCGATTCTGATATGTTTGTGATTTGTTGCCCCTTCATTGTTGCGTTTTTGTAGTTTGCATGTTAAACATTTGATTATGACCGATTAATTTTTTAAATTATTAACCCTAACCCGAACCTTTTTGTTTCTGATTTCTGATTCTGGCTTTTTTTTCAGTTTAATAGTGTGACGCGATGGCTTCTAGACGCGTTTCAAAGATGGTCGTGGGGGATACCGAGAGGAGGACCAAGCGTCGACACGATGGGTCACCATCCTCTCAGCCCTAGGTTGCTATGCATCAGGCTCCGGACTTGCCGTTCGGATATTTGTTTGATGATGACTGTGTTGCACATAAGAGGTTTGTGAAGTCATTTATGAGCCGAAAGATTTGCGAGTCGAAATCACTGAATTCGGCCTTCTTCAACTTGGAGCGTTTCGACATTGTGCCGCTTCTTGAGGAGACACATTTGATTGTGCTTGCGGAGATGCGGTGCCCATACTCGGAGGTTATGGTGAGAGCATTCTACCAGAACCTTGGCAATGTGAATGGCGAGCTGACTTCCCGTGTCTGCGGGATTGATATCATCATGACTGCTCCTATCTGGACAGAGCTACTAGGGTTCGACTTTGATGGTGTCACAGGTGCTAAACTATATAATGGAGACAGCCATCATATATTTGGTGATTATGACCGAGAGGCCATTGTTACAGAGACCAGGAGGGCAAATGCTGAGGCCGGACAATTTGCTCATTATCTTGAGCAACTTGTCGGTGTCTGCTCGCATTCTTCATTATGTGGTCACACACATTATTTTCAGTGCCCGCATAATCACTCGAAGGTACTGGAAGGAGACTTTGTGATCTTGTGGGCCCTCCTTCACCATCAGCCGGTGAACTGGAGGCACTATATATGTATACTGATGTGGAAGGCTGCCAAGTCAAAGAAGGATGAATTGCCTTTTGCATTCCCAGTGCAGAAGATTTTGCATAGATTTGGTGTGCCTATGGCAACAGAGACCATGAAGACAGCCACAGACTGGAATGCTATATTTGGTGAGCAGCTCCTGAAGCAGTGTGGGATCTTGCAGAGCCGAGCGGATACATGGTACTGGAAGAGGGCACCAGAACCACCTGAGATCCCACTCCACAACGATGCTGAGATGGAGGATGCACCTGCAGGTGATGTATTTTGGGTTTAGGGTTTCATTATGGTTACTTTTTTGTGGTTCTTAATTATAATATGTGATTTCATGTCTTATGATGCAGGCCTTGGTGACGATGACGATGATGATGGCGCTGCTGCCAAGGAAGCACGGACACTTGTAAAAACAGGAAGAGTCGGGTCCGACACGCTCCGACACGGCGACACGCTCCGACACGGTGTCAGACACGCGGTTGACTTTTTTCGACACGTTGACCATTCCGACACGCGAATTTGACCGTGTCCGACACGGTCAAATGGCATTTTCGTAATTTATTTATTTATTTTAATTTTTTTTTTAAAGTTAAAATATATTAATAAAGCTTCCACCTGATCATATCAAATTTATTTTTTTTATTTTTTCCCCTTAAGTAGATAAGGGATCATCTCAGCATCATTGTTGTCAATTCCTATTACGCTCTTGTTATATCTTCTTCTCTCTAATATGATTTGATCTCTCTATCTGATATTATATCTCTCTCTCATCTCAGTTCTTATTTTTTTTATTAAAGCTTCCATCTTTATAACGTGTTAATGGGTATTATTAATTTAGTTTCATTTTTTTGTTAAATTATTAAATATTAAATGAAATATACACTATATATATTAAAAATATTATTTAATATTAAAACGTGTCCCAACGTGTCGAAATCCATAATTTTTTAAGATTGACGTGTCGGAGTTTCGTGTCGTGTCGTGTCACGTGTCGTATCGGTGCTACATAGGCTGCTGCTGTTGATGACGCATCGACACGTCCCACTCGCATCCGTCGACCACCAGCTCCTCTATCTCTTGAGGGTGGATGGACAGCTCCTCAGGGTGGATGGAGACTAGATCATGTCAAGGCATCCATGTATAGCCTGACTGCTGGCCTTGACTTCTTGACCACTGAGTTTAAAGGATATAGAAAAACCACAAGCAGCTGGCGGACCCAGATTGACACCAGGGTTAGAAGCCTGGAGGGTGGCTACAGACAGGGTACATACACTCGTGAGGAGGCTGATGCTGTTGTTGAGGACGACGATGATGTGGAGGATGATGAGGAGACGCAATTGGATTCCAGTCCATAGGGTTTTATAGGAGGGTTTAGTTGGGTAGGGTGGATGTATTTTGGTTTAGTAGGGTATATTGGGTCTACTTCAAATGTATTTTGGATGTATTGGGTCTACTTTGGAGGCGATACTGAAAAAAAACTTGTACTTGGTATTAAATGTTTGAATGAAAACTTGTTTGTCTGTTTCGCGCATTCATAACAATATCTAAATTGCATTTTAATGGGTTTGTTAAGTCCTTCGTATTGTATGTGTAATTCGGAATATCATAAGCGCACATCGTTTAGCTCGGATCCCTAGCTACCCAATTAATCCATCCCCAATTCATATTGTATATTGTCTTTAGCCAACAAGCACAAAAATTTCCAAAAAATGGGATGAGTAGGTGCTGATGTTGCAGAAGAAATTGGTCTACCTGAGTAACTTGTACTGGTGTACCCGGGTAGAGAGTACCCGGGTAAACAATTTCGAGTTACCCGGGTAGACCAGATGCTTCTGCAACATCAGCAGCTATTCCAGCCTTTTTTTAACAATTTTTGTGCTTGTTGTCTAATACCATAACCTTATCTGACTCGGAGAAGGGGTAATTGGATAAGAAATACATTCCTGGGATCGTTTAATACCATATATGTCCAACACAATACATGATAAAAGTTACGGTTTAGGATACCTAAACCATTACACAACAATACAAGTGGTTGTCCACAAATTCAACACATTACATTACATAACGAAATACTCCAAAATATATAATCATGCTTGTCTTAGCCTCAATGGACATGTACGAATGTTATGTTCAACTTGCTTGCAATGCTTACATCTGCTCTGACTGCTCGAAGGTTGGGACTCAACTCAATCCATCTCATTCTGAATCCTTGAAGACTTTGGTCTTCCTTTTGCGCGTACCAACCTTGCATCCAAAATTACAGTAGGCCCAACAACGGATGGAATCAACAGTTCATTGTCAATAGGATACCAATGTGCAGCATATACTTTAGCAATGGTTGGGATTTTGAAAACAGGATCCACATAATCATAATGGTTCAACTTTGCTGCCTTGCAAACTGCTAACACATGGCTGCAGGGATACCTCCTTGCTGTGAACCTTCCACACTGACATTTATGATTGATTAAGTCCACTCTCATGGTGTCACCAACCTCGTGTGCAGATTGATTATAGGCATCCTCAACCTCAAACAATAATAGCTCACTATCATAAATCCTCACATGATAAGTGCCGGCCAAATCATCATTTTTTTTGCAAAGCTTCCTCAACCTTCTTTGAAATT